ACCAATTAGTAACTGACTTAATGAAAGGAATACATGTACTGAACAAATGAATATCAACCTCAGCAGCTTCACTCAATGCTGAAGCCAACCGTCTATTAAACACAAAATTATTTTCCTTCTTCCAAATCGAAGCAACTAAAACAAAATGATAATGGTGATAACAATAGAGATGATGACAATAATAATAGCAGCAACAACAGCAAATACAGGACGTCTGATTCAAACACTGTCCAAAGTGTTTTATAAATGTTAACTCATTTAATCTTCACAGTAACCCTCTGAAAAAGGTTTTAATATTTCCATTTTGCAGACCAGGAACTAACGCAAAGAGAGATGAGTAACTTGTCTAAGCTAATAGAACTATTAAGCAGCAGAGAGGGGATTTGAACCCAGTTAGTACCTAGAGCTGAACTGGAATTCAGTGCAAACCAAAGGAAGTACTGGTAAGCATAAGAGTAAATGACTTCAAATGAGTTACTTTCATTAAAAACATGAAAATTACTGGTTGACAGACAGGATTCATTTTATATACATCAAGTAAAATATTGCAAGATTGTTAAAACGTAATACACAGCAGTATTCAAAGAGCAAAAGTCAAAGTAAACCACTCAACCAAAATGAATGCTGAAATGTTCACTTTAAACTATTGTTGAAAGAGAAGAAAAAGCAATTAAGAAACGCTGGTTGCAGCAGAGTATTGGAAGGATTGAGGATCATTTGTATACATGTTTGTCAGTAAGTTCTCACATCTTAGGAAGAAAACGGAAAAAAAGAGTAATTAAGCAATTAATGTTAGAATTGGAACATAGTTCTCTCCAGGATTCTATTTATCTTGATCTTTCTTGTAAAATAAGAACAATTATAAACTATTAAAGAAACAAACATCAAATGGGAATGAACAAAATATTCTTATTTTCATTAAGAGAATACCTCAATGCATCCTTAATTTTGGGCGATGTTTGTAGTTCTGTCTGTACACCATTCATAACTTCGCTGTCTTCCAAGTTCTGCATGGAATCCTGCAGTGAAACAAACCCATAAGCATGTGGATGCCTTACATATTGAATTGAAAATCTAAATAAAATATTTCAACATGAGAGAGTAAATGATTTTACTCTGGATATATACAGTATGCTCCAATTTCTTTGAAGACTGGAAGCAGGTGTTAATCTTTTCAGTGCTTTCAATGTTCTTTTCTCTCCCATTTGGTTTCTGAAATACTCAAATGGGCCATCTACATAAGGCAATACGTTAAGAGCTTTGGAATACATCATTTAGCTTCCTGCTACTCAACCATAGGCTTCTGGGATTGAGTGTTTCAAACCAGCAAGGAAAAGAAATACCAAAAGGGAGGCTCCAGTGACAGGTGGTGATATATTAACATTAGCTTTAATGCACTACACTTGCTTGCACCCCCCATCCTGACACTAAAATATAATGAAATCAAAATCCATGAAAAAATGTTGCCTGGCAAAGTCACTTCTGTCAAAAGTGTAGCAGCAACACT